CAAAGTGAAGAAGAAAGGAAGGAAAATTCCAAAGGCTGGCCTGCAGCCAGGACCTTTGTGGATAGCTACAGAGTAGGGATCCACTTCCTTATCTTTTTATCTAACTATCTTACATTGGGCCTGAACACGTGACATGTCACAAGTGGGCGCCGTGACACCAAGGCTATTTTGAGTCCCAACAGGCCCTATTCGACTCAATCAACTCTTGGGCTAAGCAAAGAGGCTATGCCTTTTCAAAGCTTGCTCTCCAGAACCAGCTTGCCGAGTTACGAGCCCGTCAAGTAAAACAGCAGACTCGGACTCCTATTGAGTTATCAGGGGCTCTATATGGAGCTATACGAGGCTGGGTTTTGTATGAAGCAATGAGAAAAGTTGAAGAACAACGGAAGTTGCTTGTAAAGACGGATCCCCCTCCGTCCCCTACTTGTACAGGTACCTTCTCTCGAGTCTATGGGCTCCCATTCTTACATATTTTACACGCTCTTCAAGGCGAGCCTCTTCTTCTTAGCCACTTCCATTCACACTGGCATTTGAAGTGCGAAGGGGCCCCGCAGCTACTTCTCGAGCCTCGCCAGCGCATTGAGCCAACCCGGGCTCAAAGCTCACTCCCAAAGTCAAGCACTAAGCGGGAGCCTAGTAAGTTTGAAGTTGTTGAAGCCCAGGCTCAGGCGGTGCAAGCACAGCCCCGTCGGGCTCCAAGCAAGTGTACCAAGTGCAATCTGGTTGGTCATACAAGAACCTCAAGGGCATGCCCATTACGTTATTCAGATGTACTGTAGTTAGTCCGAAAGATAGCCTTTTTGCTTAGCCCAAAAAAATTGATTGGCTCAAATAAAACCTGTTGAGACTCAAAATAGTGTTGAAGGAGGCAGTCGTCTGCAAATAAAGGGGCCATAGCTGCTGGTAGCAGCGGAATTGTAGATTCCGGGGCAGTGGCCGCGTTAGATGCATTTTTCTTTGCTCACGTAATCAGATATGTTTCCATAATCAACACGGACCCGTGAGCCTAGTGGGCGCCAGAAATGGCTCGCCCAAGTGACCGCCAAGGGTGAGAAAAAAAATTCAAAAAGTTGGGGCCGAGCCAGGGCTCGAACCTGGGACCACTTGCATACTCTGAAACAGAAGCCCAAAGCAAGTATGCTACCACTACACCACACGGCCTGCCTTTGTGAATGTTTCACGACTATACTTCGACAATCTTCACTTTTGTAAGGATAGGTACCACGCGCCAACTGGAGCGAACCAATTCTCCGCCCCTTGACACTTTCTTGAAGATTTAAAAAGAAAATGCAGCTGGTCGCATCAGCCGTTACAAGATTATAATTCGATGTTGACTTGTGACCAGAAGATGTCTCCGAGTGGTAACCTGCAAAACTCAATGTCTCCGACCTAAACCGAACCAGCCAATGGGGACTCAAGGGGCCATTGCAACACAAGGTCAAAGAATTATCTCATCTTGTCTTTTGCGTTCCAATAGATCTGTAATAAGCGAGCTTTTAAAACTCTCTGTTTGAAATGTGTCGTAAGTTGAGATAGTGAGCCAAAATGCAACAAATTTACAAATTGAACTGCAAATGTCTGTGTCTGCCAACAATCCAATCTATTCCTTCGGAACCCGAATTCCCCCGCATCTGACATATCAGCGAGCAAAAGGCTTCGAGCCTCCTCAATCCTTTGTCATCACCCCCCGCTCACTCTGCATGGTACATATATGCACATACTTGTATCAGGATCTACTCCAACTCGGATGCTACAGGAACATTATCGGTTCCGCTCATAGAAACACAAGACCGACAGTTCAAGTCGTACAGGGAAGTAGGAATCTGCCTGTCCAATCAACATTATTAATCCATGTTTTAGAGGTCTAGCATATTCCATGAACTCCGCGGTGCATCAAATGCCGTGGGGTTTGTGAAACGTAGTGTACCTACCGAACATGCATAGTGTCGATCCCACCTGTTGTAGGCCTAATTCAAGCATCACAAAATGCGAGAGCACAGGTTACAAGCGTCGCCATGATCGGGAAGTCCTTAAGTATTTAGTTCCTGATCATTCCGACGATCCTCACTTCAATCCAAACTCAAACCACTTACTTCAACATCAGGCCAAAACATCAAATCTCATCACCATTTCCACCCTCAAAATGTCTTCAACCCCTTCCATCCCCCTCGAAGCCGTCGCAGGCATCGCAACCTCCCAATCCCACAAAATCCTTTTATCCTTACACAACATCCTCACCAAAGCCCTCCCTCATCCAGACTCCTCTACTTTCACAACCTCGCGCATCCACCCCGAGATGCACCCCCTCTCCTTCCAAGTCCAAATCCTCCACAAGTTCGCCAAGGCGCTCATCACCCCAACCCAACCAGGCGCCAACAAATGGGCCGGAGTCCACGAAGTCCCTCCCACTCAGGATCTGCCCGAACTCATTGAGCTCATTGAAGGAATCAAGAAAGAAGTCGAAAACGTCTCTCAGAAAGAGATAATTACCACCGTTGAGGGTCCTCATTTCGTCAAGAGCGGGGAGGACAGGCCCTCGTTCACTTTCACTAGTGAAGGGTTCGTATTGGATTTTGTTCTGCCAAACATGTATTTCCATTTGAATACTGCTTATGCGATCTTGAGGAACAAGGGTGTTGATGTGGGCAAGTGGGATTATTTGGCACCGTTTTCGGGACCGTATTTGGACAAGGCGTTTACCCCAGACACCACAGGCGCGAATTACGAATACAAGTAAATGTCAGGTTGTTGAATTAAGCTATCTTGAAAGGGATGAAAGTGGTATCAGTTATCAAAATGAGAAAGAACTCCAATCTCAAAATCCAAGTGTCTTGTTTGCAAGGTTGACTGCTTCCTTCCCGCCGGGTGTGTCGTCATCAACTGCCACCAATCTTTCCAAGCCAGTCGATTGAACCCCCAGATCACTGCAATGCTTCTTTACGTAGTCTACCGTTGGTCTTCCAATGTGATCTGACTCTCCTTTTCCCCCAGGGAAATCAGGAGCTGGCGTCCCCTCGAGGAACGCAGCTCGTTGTCTGACAACGTATCGCGCGTTGGATTCAGTGGTGGGGCAGACCGGGATATACAGGACGCTCGAGTCTGACGTTCCGTTGTGTGTTCTGTCAACTGCATGAATGGCTGAAAGATATGCGTTAGTACAATTTCAACTCAAGAGAAAAAAAAAGACTCACTATCACAATGCCAAACAACATAATCACCAGGTCTAACCTCAGGCACATTCACCATCGTCCTTCCCAACTCCAAATGCGGATGCAAATCCTCATTCATCTCCTGTGCATGTCCAGGCGTCGCACCCTGCAGCACACTCTGCATCTCTTCCCCTCCCGTAAACTCCCAATTATCCACATCCAAATACCCCTCTTCAACCTTCCCCTGCCTCTTCGCCCGGAAGAATGGCCTCAACAAGATATACACCAAGCCCTCCTTAACAAGAGGATAAACCTGCAACGTCCCTTCCCCAGGCTTCACATTACTCATGCTCATCCATCCCTGAAACATCCTAAACATACTACATGCCCCCAATCCGCCATATAAATCAGTCACTGCCCTAACTCTCCCCGTGACATCAAACGCATCATACCCCTCCTCCCATTCCCCTCTGAAAATTGAATTGTAAACCCCACCTAATCCATACCCTTGTTCTTCCCATCTCTCAACGCTTCCACCATCCATATGCGGTCCAAGAGCAAATTGAGCATCCCCCGGCTGACGAATCCTAAGTCGATCAGCATACACAAGTGGCGTCTTGACTGAAACCGGAGTCTGAGGAGAAGCACGCCATAAAGACATCAAACCCTTTTGGGTCTCCAATAAAGCATTATGAGCGCGCGCTCTGACTTGTGAAGCACTCCAGTACAATTCCAATACCTGTGGATTACTAGCCGGGAATCCTTTTGTCTGAGGATTCTGTCGAACGTACTCCTCAACCTCAAATTTATAGGCACGGGCTTCGTCCTCGGGAATAACTCCATGGATTACTGCTACACCTCGTTTTTGAATCTCGGATTTATGGGAGTGAAGGTCAGAGATGAGGTTTGAGCTGTATGGGATTGAAGGGATGATGGAGGGGCCAGAACGGGAGATTAGGTCGTTCTCGCGGCGGAGAGTTTGGAGAAGACGGGACCAAGAAGTGATGATGGAGGTTTCATGGGATTTGGCGAGGGATATTTTGAGTTGGCGGAAGCGGTCTGGAAGGGGGGAGGAGGGCTTGCCTGAGAGGGATGCGAAGGAGTCTGAGATGTCGCCTTCTCGTTTGTTGCTGGGGATGGAGGTCATTGAGGACATGGAGGTGAGGGAGCGGGTGTGGCGGAGGTGCCATGGTTGCTTTGGGAGTCGTGTGGCCAGCATTGTGTGTAATGTGTGTGTATTCAGTACTACAGTCTGCTCAGTGCTTTTGGTCGGACCTCCGTGGTTATGGACTTGCTTGAAAGGGTTGGATTCTCGAGCAATGGGAGAGGATATAACTGGATATTATATCCCCATCATCTCACCCCGCATGCCCATCAGCCTCACCCACACTGTCGGTATTTTACCCCATGAATTCAGTGACTTCCTCATCTCTCCCCGTCGGAGGTGCTCAATCGGGAGACGTCATATCGGAAGGGCGGAGCGGGGTCCCGTTTTGTACGACTTGACCAAGGCAAGGCAAACAGTTTCGGTTGAATATCGGTCCATCCGTCGAATTGAAGTTCTTGATGAATTCTGCGGATAATTGTTGGTGATCAACTCGGATCACCTTGCATGCATCACTAGAACATTGTCTGCGGGAATCGGTCCGGGATGCGCGGGTGCGAAATACGACAGATGAAGGCCCTTGATCCGAGGTTCATCGAAAAAAATATGAACATTGGATGTGCCGAGCCATAACGTTACCTGCAAATACCCGCTATTGTGGTTTGGCAGGTGTGAAAAGGTGTGGTCGAGGTGAGGAAGTGGGAGCGGAGATTCCCCTTTGGGACAATCCGCCATTCGCCCGAGGAATCAGAGAAATTTCGGCACAAGTTGGACGCATGATCTCATCTGACTGTTAGGACTTTCCCATTTAAGCGGGCAGTTACACTAACAGCGGAGACGACCGACACTGTATCGGTAATTGCCAGTTGGTTGCCCGCCATTTCCACCGCACCTCACACACTCCTTCCACACCTTGCGATTGCGAGTTGTGCGGAAAGTGAGAGGCCATCTTGGAATTCATCTATTTCTACTTTTTCAACCCATCATCCTTACAGTCAACCAAAAAAATTATTCGTGAATCGCGATCGATCTACCAATAACAAAAAAAGTCGGATCCGCCGCCTCCGCCGCGCCGCCGCCGCCATGGCAAACTCCAACAACGGCGCCGGACCTTCCCAACCGGTCAGGTTTGTGGATCATGATGAATCCGGATTGCCAGTCAAACGAAGACAGGTTGCTCGGGCATGCGAGGAATGCAGAAAGAAAAAGAAGCGCTGTCGCCACTTCTCAAACGGCGACGACGCCGACAGCAACGCTCCTGATGTTCAGCCAGGCCCTGAACCGAAAAGACAACGTTCTCATGCACCAAGTCGAAGCTCGACCAAACCACTAGATTGGGACGTTTCAGACGCTGCCGTTCAACTGCTGCGGTTCTTTTCGCAGGTTCACGACAAGCCGACACTGAGCAGCCCCGATGGCGCCCAAACTTCTCTCGAAACACCACAACCGGAGCGCGCACCTCAATTCCTGGGTGAAACAAACCCACAAGGCATCCTGGCCGAAGCGACCATGACGGCGGATGGTGATAAGCGGATTGGTGTTTCCATTCCAGTTTGGGCAGCATCAGATTCGAGAGAAAACTCTCCTCCTGCCGAGAACACGCCCAGTGGGTCAGTACACAACCAAGAGGAACGTGATGGGCCACCGGTAACGCAGAACGTCCGGTTCGCTGTTTCCAACGGTGATGGCAAGTGGGTTTCAGTACAGGACCTCACCACATCAACTTTGATTAGTCAAATCCTCTCCAGCGTCGAGTTCACCGCCGCTATCCTACCCTCGGATTCAGAGTGGTCCAGGTTAAGAGACATCTACCTTCAAAAGCTTCAACCCATCTTTCCCGCCTTCGAGGAATCAACACTGCTCGACTTACCAAAGGAGACCCTTGTCAGAGAACTAATACAAGCATC